ATTTGAATTCAGCGTATTAAAATTATGTAAGAAAAAGTGTCAAATTTAATGCAATAAATTTTTTGTAGACCTGTGTAATCTTTATTTCCAACAAGGACTTCAAGGAAACACTTTAAGAGTTGGAAGTTATTGCAAGAGCCAAGATGAAGATTATAGAGCAAGATAATGATTGATAGAAAATTTAAGATATTGCAAATTATATGAATCAGGAAAACAAGATGAACAGAACGGATTCCAAAGAGCTGATTTTCTAGGGAATAAACTAGACAAATAAGAATTTTTGGAGCAATATAATACTATAAAATTGTATAAAAATACAAACTTTACAATTATTTGTCTATATGGTTTCCATGAGAGGTCAGTATGAAAAGATAATCCAAGATGATGTAAACGAGATGACTGAAATCCAAATGTTTCTTATGTCATCAACAAGTACCTGCGAGCTTTTTGGGATAATCAATAATGTTGTAAACAGTAAATGGTTGAGGATAGAAGTTAACATTATTAGCTAAGTAGTGACACTAGTCTGAATTAGCAGTGTTTAGTGCCACAAGTCTGTATGTTTTATGATTGTGATGTTGTTGTTGTGATGTTTTGTGTTGATAGACAACTTGGCTTACCTTCTCGCTGGTGTCTATTGTTAAAAATGATTATAAGGTTATTTTGTTACTGAAATCCCCTACTTCTAATGATTCACTAAAAGCCAAGATAATAGTTTTAGAATAACAAACTTTTTTTATGTTGTTTTCATTTCTTTATCTTAGGTGTATAGTCACACTCTTAAATAGTAAGTTTCTTAGTTTATATTTATTTAGATGGAATATTTAATTTATATATTTTTTTTAATTTATAACTTTTAAAAAGAATAAACAAAATTTTTTTAACACATTGTGTATTTATGTTTTTAATAACAATTTTATTACACTTTTAGGTAGAATTTTTACTGTTATACCTGCTATTGCTGTTGCAAGTACTCAAAGTTTCAGGAAGTTCATTTGCTCTTAGTTATTTTCATTTAAAATTAAAGTTTAACTTTATTAAAGAATCTTTTGTCTGTTAAATAGGTTATTCTGAATAATTCCAACAAATTTTTATGCCCTTACGCAGTAATTTACTGATCAGCCTGTAAATTAAGTAATAGTTTTAAAAAGATGTATTAACTGGATCTCATGATGCATATTTGAATTGAGTTTTTATAATATAACCCTAAATTTTAATCTCCAAGACTAGGTAAATAAGTAAAAACACTTCAGTCTGTAAAACAAACAATTCTTGATAATTTTGACAGGTTTTTAAAAATTTATGGTATTTAATTTTCGTATAGTTTGTATTACTATAGAAAATTTCAAACCAAATGTAATAACGGTTTGAAAATATCAAAAAATATTCAAAGTCAATTTGCCCAATTGGTTTGTGTAGCCCTTTCATTTTAATTTAATGATCGGTTTGTAAATTAGGCAATAATTTCAAAATGATGTATTATTTGGATTCTATTATTTCTTTATGCACATTTGGATGGAGTAATTAAAGTGTAACCCTAAATTTTTTTCTAAAAAACATAATTATGCAAGTAAAAACCCTTCAGTCTGTAAAATTAACAATTCTGGATAACCCAGACTAAATAATTATTAAATAAATGTTGGATCACTATTTAAAATTCAAGTCAAATGTAATATCGGTTCAGAAATATCAAATGTATTTGAAGTTGAAATGCCCATTTGGTTTGTACAGTCCTTTTTCTGCAATTTACTGACCGATCTGTTATTTATGCAATAATATCACTTACGGTTCTGTAAATTATACAATAATTTAAAATGATTTATTATTTGGCTTTCATTACGTATATTCGCATACAGTGTAATTGTTGTAGTGTAATTATAGCATGAACACAAATTTTATTCTGCCAAACTCAGTAAATATATAAAACCCTTCAGCCTGTAAAATAGATGATTCTGGACAACCACGAAAGATTAAAAAAAATTGTTTTTTTTTTATTTTCTTATAGTTGTTGGATCACTCTGAAAAATTTCAAATGTAATACCGGTTCAAAAGTTATTAAACGATTAAGACAACCCCAAAAGTAAGTAAACTAGTCAAAACCCTCAGTAAGTAAAATAGGTGATTCTGCACAATCCCGACAGATTTAAATAAATAAAAAAAAATGGTCTTTTATTCTCTTATAGCCGTTGGATCACTATAGAGAATTTCAAGTCAAATGTAATTACTGTACAAAAGTTATTCCAAAGTAAAAAACGACCCCAAAAGTAAGTAAATCATTAAAAACCCCCGGTCTTTAAATAGTTGATTCTGGGCAATCCCGACAGATTTAAAAAATAAAAATGTAGTAATTTATTTTCTTATAGTGGTAGGGTCACTAAGGAAAATTCCAGGTCAAATGTAATAACGGTTCAAAAGTTATTCAAAAGTCAATATACCCAAAAATACTCTCCTTTTCGGTGCCACTGCAAATTTTCCATACTTAAGTCCATTTTCATATGATGTGCCTACTTTTGTCACATGATGTGCCTACTTTTATCATATGATGTGTCTACTTTTGTCATATAATGTGCCTTTTGTCATATGATCTGCCATACTTAAGCCATTTGTCATATGATGTATATGTCTTTTGTCAAAAAAATCATCAGTTTTTCCACTACAAAAAGTTTTATAACTTTTGATCCGCTTAACTTTAAAGGTTGAACTTTTCCCTCACTTTTCAAGTATTCTCAAGCTCTATATAACAACATCAATTATAAATGCTATAAATATTATGAATGGCTATCAAAGAAAAATTGAAAGAACATTTAAAAATAATGTTGATGAATTGATAGCTGTTTTTCCTTATTCTAATTCTGTTTTACCATCATCTGATGGATTTAAAGATAGTGACAGTGAAAGTTTTTGTGTGTCAAACACAAGTGACAGCAAAATTGCCACTCCTAAAAAAGACCTACGTATAAGAGGTGGACCAGACGAATAGGTGTTCAGGGAGGTATAAAATGCAATAAAGGAATTTCCGCTAAAGTTTTTGCTGACCCTAAACATGCAAAAGTTATTGCTGATAATGCTGTATTCAATTTAAATATACAGAACTATGCTGTAACAGCTAACAGCTGGTAGGTAGTATTTCTAACCATTGTATGGTGAATATTCCAAGGTAGTATTTCTAACCATTGTATGGTGAATATTCGTGGTAGAGTGTGAAGCCGTGGTAATAGTTATAAAATTATACACACTGACAACTCCAGAAGGAATAACACTAGACTTTCTTGTATACTGTGGGAAAAGATTGTTTGCCGATGATTACATAAATGATCAAATGCCAGAATACTATCTGTGTTGATGTAACCTTTTATTGGTCTAGGTCATAATCTTTACACAGACCATTATTTCACTGGTACAACACTAGTTAAGTATTTTCTTGATAACCAGACACATCTATGTGGCATGGTTCGTTCAAATCAATATAATTACTCAAAAGAAATTCTTAATGAAATTTTAGAAAAAGGAGATGCAGTTTTCAATAAAAATAATGATGTTAGTAGTCGAATGCTGGCTTGTAAATTTCGCGCATCAAAAGATAAAGCTTCGGGTAAACAAAAAGTTGTCTACATGTTGTCAACATGTCACCAACCATCCATGAGACTCATTGGTAATACTCAAGGATTGAATAATCAAAAACCGATTTGTGTAAAAGAATAAAATAGCCATAAGGGTGGTGTAGATTGTGTTGACCAACAATTCCAAGTGTGCAGCTGTTACGGAACACTTTCAAGTGGTTTTGAAAACTTGCATTAAAGGCTTATTTCTCAAAATATTTTAAACAGCCATAAAATTTTTGTGAAGCGCACTCACCGCAAAAATAGCACTTTCTTAGATTTTCTTTATGATACAATTAAATTGACGTTATTGTCTTCACCAAAGCTAAGTTCAATACTTGTTTCTGATGATACTTTACACAGGCTTACTGGGCCTCACTTTACGGAAACCAAATAGCCATCACCAGATGGAAAAGATAAGTGTCTTTCTAAGTTATGCAGAGTATGCTATGCACGAGGAATTCTTAACAACAATGGAAAGCCACTAAAAACTGTGCATATATGCAAAATTTGCCCATCAGAGCCAGTGCTTCATGTTGACAACTGCTTTGAAATATATCACACAGTGTTGGATTTTGTGTAAAAATTAGTATATATGCATGTTTTTCGTTATATTTATCTTGTCTTATTGTTCTTTACTTTCTGACTTTCTTGTTATTTGTTCTTTTTTTGATGAAAGCGTAATATTTTAAATTTTATAACAAAGGTTCACTAACCTATTATATACATTAACTTTTGATAAAATAATGTTTGAGATTTGAAAATTTACAGAGTTATCTGATGAAAATTTATTTTTATTTTTATTTTTTTCTTTCATTTTTTGAAATATAAATTACTTAAAAAAAAAGGAGTAAATTTTTCAGAGAAATTGAACATTTTTAAAGTCATAGTATAATTTTAAAGGTAGTTAGGATATCATATTTTGACACGATAATAAAAATTTGTTGAGCCTGGTAACGAAAGGATTAACAGCAACTCCGAGAAATTAAAATCGGTAACGAAATTGTTCTTATTGGTTGTGTCTATAGACCACCTTTTTAACATATAAATGAAATAAATAAAGCAGTTATTTCTGTTTAGCAAGCTGTTAGATAGAAAAACGTATCAACTTATATGCAATGGAATAACAAATGCTTTTTTTTACGTAAAGATTATAATTTACAAACCACTATAAATTTTTGTATAATTTATTAATTTCGTTTTTGTTTGATTATTTTTCATGTAATCTAAAAAGATTTATTCAAATATATTATTATTAGCATCACACTTTTTTAAAATGTAGGCATAATTGTAACCGGCATAATAATTTTAATCGTCTAATTTAAGTTTAAGCCAAAGTATTAATCTTTTTCATCATTAAAAGAAACCCAATGAAACAGTCATTGGTATGGATCATTGATAACATGACCCAGATATGGAACGCAAAACTCAAAAAAACTATGAATTTCTTGTGCGATGGCGAGTAAAATGTTCAAATCTGAAAAAAGATACTGTTTTTAAGTACACCGAGCATTTCAATAATAAAGAGTTTGTGTTGTACCGTGGGTAATGCAGTTTATCACGAGGTACTTGGGTTCGATTTCTCAAATTTTATTTTCTTAGTTTAATCTAAAAAGTGCAACAAAGTGTACATACATCGACTGATTTAGAAGTATGCGAGTGTACGAACATCGATTAAGGGTTTTGGTTTGAATAGGTACTCTTTTTTAACTCTTTACAGATTTATTTAAATAGGAGGTTGGTTAGCGATCTTTAGCATGTACCAAAAGGAGGTGCCATAGATTTTAACTACCAAAAAATTTATTGATACCAACTATGACGCAAAGATTGTCTCAAAATCATCCGAAAAATTTATTACCAAGCTTTTGAAATAAAAAATTTCGAACGAAGTTTGTTCTTTGAATACTTACTTATATCTGTTTATTGATATTTATATTGTATTTATCAAAAAAATTTAAAAGTTGAATAAAATGGACGAGAATAATTTGGGAGATTGTAATGTTTGTGAGATTGTTTCTTTATTAGATCCCAAAGATTTTGTTGGTAAGATTTTATATTTAATGTAAATATATCTGAACAAATATGTTAACAATTTTAATATAATAATATGACATCAACTAATGGCATTAATTTATTTATATTAGTAATATAAATTAATTAATGTCATTAAGTGTATTTAAGCCTTCTTGCACTGAAACAAAGTTAAACTACTTAAAAAAAAATTAGTTAAAACTTTATTAACTTTGTTTAATTAACTTTGTTTAAATGTTCTTTAAGTATCAAGAATTGATACTTTTTGATAGTATACCTAACGTATATCTTAAAAAATTAATATATTTCGTTTTTTGCTTTTATATTTAATTGATGCTTTAAGTTTAACTTAAACTTGAAACTTTGCTCTAAGGCACATTCTTTTTGCATTTAATTTATGACATAAACTAATGAATTGTTAATAAATATTTTACATATGGCAAATATTAGGTAGAAAAATGTACTATTATGAAGTTAAATATTCTGTAAAAGAAACAAGTTTTAATTTTTTTTTTAATTTTGAAATATAGTTATTATTCAAAATTTTTTATTTCATAATTTTCATTTATTTACTATGTGCAAAACCAGATTTAACAACAGTACCTTTTGATTTCCTTGAAGAAACTTATGAAGAACGATACATTTTCAATGCATATAGAGATGTTTGTTTAAAACTTAAAGAACATCAAATATTGCACACAGAGCATTATGTTTCATCATTCTCCAGAGGAATGGAAAAGGAATTACAAGGTTTGCAAATTTAAAACATTTTTACAATCCAACAATGTATATAGAAGTATATGTATATGCGTAAAATAATAGATGTAGTATAGATGTAATTTGAATGTTAGTTATTTGCATTCCCATTTAAAATGCATTGGTTTTATTTAAAATTATCTTTTTTAAAAAATTACAAATTCTTTAATTTTCAATAATTCATTATTTTTGTGCATATATAATTAAGATTAAAATTAATCAAAGAAAATAATAAAAATTTTGACTGTCCAAAAAAACAATTGACCATCAATTCCATGTGTTAGCCGGTCAAATTGGCTGCTTGTCTTTAATTTTTTTTTCTATGCTGCTGTTGCATGTTCTCCAGAAGTCTGAAGAGCCTAATTTTTTAGATGAAATACAAAATTTCATGGCCTGAGAATAGTGGGTTTATGCATTAGACAAAGCCTTTTTACAATAGTTTCTAGCGATAGTAAACGGACATTTGTTTTCTGGAGAAATGTTTTGCTGATAGTTATGGAAGTAATGTAAAGTAAAAAGGTAGGAAAGTAAAAAAAAATATCAATATTGATCTTTTCTATTCCTTTTATATTTAATATTAAACTTCTAGAGTCTATTTTATTAAGTTAAACAATTTTAATGTAAATATTTGTAATTTTAAAGAGAAAGTAATTTTTGAAATATTTACTTTTTTAAAAATAAAATAAAATAAAATAATGCATTAACACCCTTCTTTATCCTACAATCTTGGTTTACAAATAGATATTAAATTATATTTTTATTTTTTCATTTTCTGAAATAAGTTGTTTTAGATATAATGGCAATATTTATTTATTTGTTTTATAGAATTGACAAAAAAAAAAATCATAAAGTTTTTATGAAGATGAAGCGGTAAATTACACAACAGCTTTAAAGTTCATGCTTAAAAAAAAATTATTAATTTTTTTTTTATTGTTGTTTTATATTTTTTTTATTGTTACCAATATCTTATATTTATATTTAATACATAGCGATAAAACTGGTTTTTTCAATTATGAGATCTTTTAGTTTTTTCTTCTTATAAATTTATTGTTATTTATTTTAAGTTCTTTTAAATAATGTATCAATCTCATACTGAAATTAAAAATTGAGTTGTTTTCTATCAAAAATATTTGAATCACTAACCGCTTCAAAGTTAAGGGGCTTCGTTTCAAAATCACCCTAGTTAAAATTATCCCTATTCAATTCTCCATCTTCTTCGCTTCAATTCACATTACCTTTATCAATTGGTTAAATATATTCAGCCATCTTATTGTTTTTTTCAAAACAATATATTAGATAGTACCTCTGTCTCTAATTATAACACAAAAAATGGCTTTCGTCTAGCTATCGGGCTTTGCTAAATCCAAATCTTATTACAAGGTATGGATGCAGAGCTGATATCACATAGGCAAATTATAATAGTTAATCTTAACTCTTAAACTGTTGCATCACCATCTGGTACTACTTTATTAGTTCGTTTTCCTTCTTTATCACAAAACATGGTCGTTGTCATAAGTCATCAAGAGAGGTGTGTCCTATGACCCTCAGGGTGGCACCATAGCCGCCTTTTACATCTACTTCTCCTTGGTAATTGTTTTATTTTCTGATTCATCTAAGCCTGACTAATAATTCATAAAATTGTAGTAATGGATTAATTGTCATCAGAGGTGCTTTTTATTTTTTATTGTTGAGGACAAACCCCTTTTGACATCTCCAACAAGTACAAAAATTATAATTTAAAATAAACGCATAATATGTAAATTAAATGTTATATTTAATTATTTTTTTTTGTAGGTATGTATTTTTATGATAAATTTAAACGTTTGAAACTATTTTTAAAATAGTTTCAAATATTTAAATTTATCATAAAAAGTCTTTTAAAAATTTTTTTATTAAAAAATAATTTTTTGCAAGTTACTTTAAATTATGAATAAGTTAAGTCTTCCTAAGATTTAATTGCCTTTTTTTTTTTTTACAAAGTTTTGAAGTTTTTTTTTTTTTTTTTAACTTGACTTTTAATCAAAGAATGAAATGATTAAGTATTACAATTTTAAAAAGACAATGTTGTTTTTTTAAACAATTTTTTTTTGCAACTTTTTGAAAAAAATGTTTAAACAAATTAAAAATATTATATTTTTTTCTTTTCAATAATTTAAATAAAATTTATTTATTGAACAATAAATAGGAGTAATAAGTAAAAGTGTTTTGTGTAACTTTAATAAAACGTTTCAAAAGATAAGTTTTTAAATAATTTCTTTTAAATGCAATTAAAAAAGTAACAAAAAGTAAAAATATATAGGCAAGAGACCATTCTTGTAGAAAACATAAAAATATTGTGCAAGTTACAAAGAAATTTGATTGCCCTGCAAAGGCTCACATAAAAGAAATACTAGAATTTCCAGAGTTTAAGGTAGTACTTTGTATTTTTTAACAAGCCAAGATGATAGAGTAACTCATGATTTATAATATGATAAAATTTAATAAAATTCCTGATTAAAGTAACAAGTTTAGGTTACAAAAAGAGAGTTGGCTCTCGTTTTGTAAATAGATTGGGCAATCTGCCAAAAGTAGTTTGGTATCTGTCCATGTAAATCTGATCAATATATATTAAACTTTACTAGAACCCTTTTATAAAATGTCTAATCAACAAAAAATTTATACTTTTTTTATAATAAATGTTTATTATCACCAAGAGCTATTCTAGACCGTTTTATTTTTTTACTGTATTTGGGCAACGATTTAGGCGCCGCCCAAATGAAAAATTAAGGACCTTTTTCTTTCTTTTTTTTTTTTATGGCAAATATTGTTTTTTCCGCTTATATTAGGTTATACTAGGAAAAAAATATGGGGTACCACCACCCATATTTTTTTCCTAGTATAGCCCCTGATCACATAACTTTGTATGTGTTATTAAACATTTATTTTTACATTTTCTTAAAGCTTGATAGAGATTCTAAATGGTTCAGGAAAGACACATCAAAAAAACTCAGTTTTTCTTTGACTGGAAACAAAAATATGATAGTGTCTAGAAAGTACGTCTTGACTATACCAGATATTACTGTGCACAGAAACCATTTAATTGGCATTGTAAGTTTTATTACGTATTTTTAACAATATTTTGTGTCTTTTACTTCTTTTTAACAATTAACTATACTTTTTAAAGGCAGCAGCAGGTCTCATTCAACCTATTTCAGACAAACTTATTATCAAAATTGGAGAACTAGTTAAAGTTGGAGTAAATACTGTAACAGAGATGAGGCGGCATCTGGAGAACTTTGTTCTTACCATTTTTAGTTCAAGAAGTATGCCAAATAAATCAAACAAACGCTTTTTCCCGTTGGATGAAACTATCCGCAACCATATGCTAAAAGCTAGGAAAAAAATGTGTCACTCCCTAATAGACCAAGAGTGTTTAAATAAAAAGGTAGCAGAATGGGCAAAAAATTATAAAGAAGCTTTTATAAAGTTTCGTCCCGAAGGTTAAAACAATTCAGAAGACAATAATCAAGACCTTCAAAAGTCCTTGCTGTTCATTTTTCAAGATAAATGACAAAGAAGGTTACTTTTGTGTTATGGCAATGAGTTATTATTTCTTGATGCAACATACCAAACTACTCAATATGCACTTCCTCTTTTCTTCCTAGTTTTAAAAATAAATGTTGATTATCAAAAAAAATAAATGTTGATTATCAAATAGTTGCCATTTTTGTATGTGAAAATGAAACAACAGAAGCCATTAAAGAAGCACTAATATTTATTAAAAAATGGAATCCTTCATTCCAACCTAAATACTTTATGACGAACTATTCAAATAAAAAGATAAATTCACTTGAGTCAGGTAAAACTTTTTGTTATAAAAGATATTTTTTTAAGTAAAGATTCAACATTTATTTCATTTGGAAAGTCAACCATTTTGTTATGAAAAATTGTTCTTAGTTAAAGAAATTATTAATAAAAAGTATTTATTCCTACAAATAAACTTGCCCTTTAATTTATTATTTAGCTATTTTGTTTATAAACCTTTGTAACTGAAATGTTCACCTTGTGATATTTGCACTACTATCATATCATTGATAATAAAATATCTGTGTATAATAAAGATATAAGAGCTTTTATAAAATTTAAAGTCAAGTAGAAGAAAAAATTTATCTTTATTTTTTTTTATTCTTAAAAAAAACTCAGTTAGCTAAAATATATAAAAAACTGGTTATATACTAATTACTACATTTATAACAGAAACTGCTTTTTTGTTTTGTTTTATAAAATTCAAAAACCAAAAAAGTAGTAAAATTTGTTGACTAAAAAAAGTTCATTTTATCAAATTAATTACTTCTTATTGTTCATCAATAATGAATAAATACTTTCTTTAAACAAGTTTTTTATGGAGTATTGTTGTCTTTTTAATGTAGAATGTAGTGTATTTATTTGCGATTTTCATCGTGAGCAAGCTTGGGAGCGTTGGCTATCGAAATCCAGTAATGGGTGTTTAATTGTCAAGGAAGATGTCAAGATTATGTTACGTCAAATAGCTCATTCAAAAACAATTGAGATTTGTAAAGAAGCTGAAAAAGCATTAAAAGATTCATCTGAGTATAATAATCATCCAAAACTAAAAGAGTATTTAAAAAATACTTGGTTGTATATCAAAAAGGTCTGTGTTAATGTTTTTGAGAATATAAAATAGTTTAGTTTTCCTAAAACATGCAACTACACTGTTAAAAAATTCTCCGTAGATTCAACGGAGAATGTCCGGCAGCCAAGAAGACAGCACTTTCTCCGTAACAATTAACGGTTTCCGTAGTTTCTTTTTTCCGTAAAATTCAACGGAAAAAGTCTGTTAAAAAAGATACAGGACTTTCTCCGTAAAATTTACGGTTTCCGTATTTCATTTTTTCTGTACAAACGTACGGAGAAAGTCAGGCAGCACTTTCTCCGTAATACTAACGGTTTCCGTATTTTAATTTTTTCGTATAAATTTACGGAAAAACTCCGTTAATTCATCAAATAGACAGTTCACTCACGAGTTTACGTGAAAGTAAAAAATAAATGAATAGAATTTATACGTTGTTATAAAAATGTAATTCAAATATTAAGACTCGTGAAGTAATTAAAAATTATAATATAATACATATCAAACACAACAACAACAAAAACTCAGTAGTTTTGAGTATATAATTTATATATATATATATATATATATATATATATATATATATATATATATATATATATATATATATATATTTATATATATATAATAAGAAACAATATTATATAATAAGAAATAATATTATATTATGACAATTTATAATACAGACATAACAAATATATATGAAAATATATTTTATTAGTTATAATAAATAAATACAAAGCGTATTTTCGTCTATTGCTGCTCTGTCCATTCAAACAGCCCTAGTTCGTTAACAAAACTTATAACGTTAGGGTGAGGTCCGACATACTGCTTTTTACCAATCTTCTTTTCGATTTTGTTTCCTTTTTCAGGGTTTATTTTTACGATACATCTACATAATAATTAGATAAGATTAATAAATCATTATTTACAGTAAAAAAAAGAAAAAGAAAGTAATTTTAAAAATATTTAAAAATTGTATGTGAAGCGAACATGTAGAGCATAGAGTAGATTATCAGGATGCAGTGACTTAATAGAAAAGGGAAGGGTAGAAGTAGATAAAGTTAGAGAATACAATGCAGGTTAGGTAATGAAAAAGATTTATATAAACAAATGTCAATAAACATTATCTTATGACTTACCTCTGCAAAAACTCAAGGGTTGCAGCAATCTCTACTGGATAGCCAACATTTAACACATAATATGCAGCAAAAAGAACAACCAATGCCAAATAAGGATTTGCAAGATTATTTATAATAACATGCCGATCAACAACCAAGTAAAAACTATTACACTTGAATATGCAAGTTCCTATATGGGCAAAAAAAATTCAAAAATTCTCAATTTTTTTTTTTTAGAAAAACAAGCATAGCAATGTGGAATTTCCTAACAATAAGAAAACAAAATCTAAATCTATAAATAAATTCAATAAATTTATTAAACAATTAGTAGCAAAAATGATATGTTACCAGCAAAACTAATACAAGGAGAAAGTGGAAGAGTAATGTCCTTTTCAATATCATCCACATTTGCATGCTCCTACAAGTATTAAAACATCACATAAATATATTACTGATAAAATATTACTGATAAAATATGCACAAAGTATATTAAACTGTATTAACTTTTTCAATCAAGGAAGATAAAATTTAAAAAATCAATGGAAAAAATATTTACCATAGTCTGATGAAACAAAAACTTGGAAGATTCTTTAAAAAACTGGCAAATGCCCAAAATTGCAGCAACAAGTGGTGCTAACACATTACCTTGCCCAGCTAATATCATTTCATTCATGGCTAATTGCATTTCTTTTTGGTGTTGCAAAAATTTGACAATTATGGTAGATTTAATTTTAAGATTTTCAAATATAAAAGTCAACTCCAGTTAATGTTTTAAAATGATGTAAAAACCAATTGGCTTTAAATAAAAATGGCCATTTAGCCACTAACGATACTATTTTCAGTGCATTTAATCCGACTATATCAGCACGCTGTGAAGGATAAGTTAAAGAATGTAGCCTTTCTATTTCATAAACATTCCACAACGAAGAGGGCAAATTGTGATGATCTTGCAGCCACTCAATATGCTTGTCATATTGGGCATTGAATTGCTGTACCATCCCTAATATGGTAATTTAAATGAATAAACAATGCAGTCTTATCCTTGCATTTCGCACCACACATAGGAACTTGGCAAGACAATGAAATAACTTTATTATTTAAAGAAGTTAATCTTGCATTAAACTTATTTTGACCATGATTGCGGTAGATATGTTTTTTTAAATTCCAAAAAGTAGAAAAGCTTTGAAAACATCCAGAAACACAGCATGCAACCCTGAATCTTGGTTCCATAGAATGTAAACGACAGTGATTAATGTACGCATTAATAGTAGGTAGAGCAAAATCACACTGTTTACAATTGTAAATCTAATTCTTCCTAACTATTTGAATTAAATAAATAAATTACTATATTACATAACAACATTTATTATATATATTTTTAAGTAAGAACATAAATTGATTCTGCGTAGATGTTTTATTTTGAGTATTTGTTTATTTTGAAAGAATATAATATATTTTATGTCTAGTGTTTATTCTAACAGAATATATATATATATATATATATATATATATATATATATATATATATATATATATATATATATATATATATATATATGTATATATATATATATATATATATATATATATATATATATATACATATATATATATATACACACACAGTAGAATCCCTTTAAGTCGGACTCTAAAAGAGAAAAAATAAGTAGTGAGCATTTAATATAAAAATCATCACTCTAAGCAGCCAAAAAAATGAGTCAGCTAGCCAGCCACAAAAGTGTTTGCTAGCTCATGCCATCAGCTAACTGGTCTGAAAATATTTTAGACAGCTATGAAAGTAAAATTTCGTGGCTTGGAGGTCTAGTGTGATTGACAGTATATTTATTTGAGATTATTATTATTATTATTATTATTATTATTATTATTATATATATATATAATATATATATATATATTATAATAATAATAATAATAATAATAATATATATATATATATATATATATATATATATATATATATATATATATATATATATATATATATATATATATATAAATATATATATATATATATATATATATATATATATATATATATATATATATATATATATATATAATATATATATATATATATATATATATATATATATATGTATATATATATATATATATATATATATATATAATATATATATATAACTAGATTATCAAACTTAATTAGAATTTTATGTGAACGTACTTCTTGAAAAACATGTAGCATTTAAGTTCCATTAAAAAATATATAAATAAATTAAAATATCTAACTTTGAAATTATAATTTGTATAATTTCTCCATATTTGAAATTACAATGTGTATTATAATATCTTCTCGTGAAAAAAAAAATGGCGCTTAGTAAATAAGAGAGGAGCCATTAAATACAGGAATGGCTCCCAATTTTGATTGGATGAAAAAATTTTGTTTCACGAAGTCCGAAAAACATTTTTTCTCGTTTGCCGGATATCGTGACTTGTATATGTTATATATGAAACATGTATATGAAATATTATGAATATATTCTTTAGATCGGAGCAAATATTTTGACCAATCAAATTAGGGAGCCATTCCTGTAAGTCTTCGATTGTAGGTTTTATTTACATAAATCTTATTTACCGCTATTGTTTTTAATTTGTCTATAGTATTATAGTTTACTAACTTTGTTAATTTATTTTTTATATTATTCTTAAGTAAAACATATACTGAGAGTGTTAAGTAAAACATGTACAGAGAGTAAAACATAAAATTATATTATTTTTTGTTATACATTCAATGTGTAAATAAAAATGTTATTTATTTTTATTAATTTAATTTTATTAATTAATTTTTATTTTCTTAAATTCATAAAATACAGTGTGTTTTATTCACACATTAATTGTGTAATAATATGTTTTGTTATTGTAAATGTATTGTAATACATTTACAATAGTTACCCTGTGTGTTACATAGTTACCCTGTGTATTATAATACACTTACCTATTACATTTACCTATTACATTATTACATTTAATAATTAACCTGTGTGTAACACTCAGAATAATTATTGTAAATGTATTATTATACATTTACAATAATTAACATGTATTATTATACATTTTCAATAACAAAGCAACACACAATTTCTTACACGCTACTACTAAGCCAATACTTTTACATTCTAAACTATGGCAATACTTTCAATCAGAGGTTTGTTGGTTAAAAATAAAATTAAAATTAAATTAATATGCTTCATAAAATTATATTGTTTAACTAATGATTCTTTATTAAATTGTTTTATTAACTAATAAAGTTAAATGTTAAAATTAAATTAAATTTTTAAATGATGTAGTTTTCTATAATCAAATTTTATCTTACTATTAGGTCAACAAATATTATCTTACTGGCTAGATCTTTTTTTTTTAAATATATGTCTTTAAAAAACATTGAGCACTCTAACTGTAAAATACACTATGTAAGTTAGTGTATTCTAAAATTTAAGTGCTCAATGTTTTTAAGCATTACGTTTGCAAGGAAAAATTAGTTCAATGCAATTTGCATTATTCAATGACCAGATTTGTTCAATGTTGGAGTAAGTTCCTGGCAAATTTTCGGATACCACAACAAGAATTTTTCTCTTAAATAATGCTTTCTTCTATTCCTTTGAATAAGAGGTTAATTTGGTGGTAAGCTGCTATCTGCTCTTAATGCAGTACAACAATGCTTAGATAAAACTTGAGAAAACCTTTACCACTATCAATTCCAAGCTTAACAAAATATCCGTCAGAAAATTTGCAAGAGAATAACATGATAAATCATTGCATTGAGCAACATTCCGAACTGTACCAAAATCTCCTTTCCATTGGTAATTTTTAAGTCACTGCAGGTGACTTAAAAAATATTCTTGGCTTAGATTAGTAAAAACACTCATCTAAATATCCTCTACAGTCTGTTTTAACCTAATAAACCTGCTGAAGGAGAAACAGACTGTAGAAAAGATTTTAATAAGTTTTTTTAAAATTTTATATATATATATATTTATAAAATTTTACATCGACTACATCGACTGACAAATAGCCTGACTCGCAAGGGAGTGCTGCTACATCGACTGACGGTTTGGTTTGGGCAGGCAGTCTATCATTTAAGAGAAAAAAAATTATTTAAGTTTTGAAACTTTTTCTGCTCTGCTTTATTAATGCTCTCTTTAAAACTACAGTTTATGGGAAAAACTTTCTATAACATTATTATGTTGTTTGGCCTTGAACTTTATGTTGCAATCTCCTAATTTATGAGTGAAATCACTTGTATTAATAATCACAACAAATATTAGTCTAATAAGTTTTTTTAATCTAAAATAACATAATGAATAATTAAATCACAACATTCTCTGCAGCCATAAAATATATGAGTTTATATTAAGTAAGGTTCTTCACATATCTTCTTCTATTAACCTTAATGGTGGATGACTTACTCTTGAGGATCTACATGGTTAGGATTAGGGTCAGGGTTTGGGAAAATTTTCTGAAAACTAATAAATGCTCCTTGTGTATAAAGCACTTAAAGTACATTGTTTTATGAACTCATTGCTCACTAAATGCTTCCTACACACTCCACAAGCCTATTTCCCAGATATTTTTACTTGGTCATTCTTAACTTAGGTTAATCCTTAGCTCTTTTGTTTCAATTCCATCTTGTTAAGACTGAAAATTTTAAACACTTTATATATTAATTCTTCTTCAACTACATAAATTAGTTTTTATGCTAAGACAAGTCTAAACTCTTTACAAATAGATTACAAGAGGGTTACCAAAACCAAGGGTGTATCACTGAACAATGCTGCACACTAACCTTTACTTTCAAACTATCACTCTCTCTTTTGTTTTCATTTATGTTGTGATATTTTCATACATAGTTGTGAATACTTTTTTAACATCTTTTTAACATCTTAAACCCATCACACAAGCTCTGATGGCACATTTTCAACGTTAAAAAACAATAGGAGAATTGTCTAACTGAGCTCTATTAATAGCTCTGGTTCTACTTCACTAAATTAAATTATCTTCGTATACAGCTTTTACTTTTTTCGAATGAGAAAACCTACTTCAATAAAATAAATGTTGTTACTATATCAACTTTATCTTAAACACACTTTTTTTTTTTTTTTAAACTTAAAAAAAAAAAAAAACAATAACACAATAGAGTGAGCTAATTGAAACTTAAAAGCTCTCATATTATTGATTGTGATCATGTTAAACAATATGTTAATTAGGTTTGTTGTTATTGTTATACTAAATTAAAAATCTTTCACTATCTATTATTCAAATTTATAAATTTATAACTACTTTCGAATTCTTAATACAAAAGAGGCAAATTAAAGGTATAAATAAATAGGTAATAAAAGAGTGGGTTAGAATTTGAGGGGGGGGTGTGTCTTATTAGGCTTAGGGTGGGTGGGAAAATTTCCCAAAAATTAATAAACCTTTTTTTTATCTAGGACTCGAGAGTATTTATAACTATAGAGCATACATCTATTTTAATTTTTTTTTATAGACTTGAGTGTTTGTGTTAAGCTTGTATAAAATTTTGCAAAGGTGTTGCCAATTTTTATGTATTCTTTATATGGTTATCTTTTAGAAGTAAAATTCAACAGTAAATGATAGTTAAATCTATATAATTCACTACAAACAGTTATACACGAAGTCTAAGATGCGGATGATGAAGATTTGCTGCACGTCACATCAATCAGAGTAATGCTTGTGATTATCTTATTAGAGTCATGACTTAGTAAATCTTGATGAAAAAAACTGTTTGGTGAAAAGACTTTTAGCAAAAAAAAATCTTATTAAACTGTCTAAATGATTACTTCTATAAAAAAGGTGTAGTGCATACAACTTGATGTGTTCTTTTTCATTAATTCTTTGTCAATAAAAAGTTAATTTGTCGATGCAATATATATCAAGTTTAGCTCATTTCAAAAAAGTGTTATTTCTTTAATAAAATGTAACACTAAGTAATCTAATACTGTAAGTCCATAAAGTGGGCTTTGAAGTTTAGAGTTGCCAAAATTAGAAATTTTCTTTTGTCTGAGTTTTCAAAACTAATATACTGTAAAAAAACAATAAAATTAAGGTAAATTAAAATGGTTACCAGCGAGTCAGAAGCGATTGCTATAAATGTCAAAAATTGCATGGTGTGTGCATGCAAGTGTTTGTTACCTAAATGAATTTATTTTTTCTGCAAATTTATTTATATGTTAAAATGCTAACAAAAATTAAATTCTTGTTGCTTTTTTAATATTCACCAATTGCAAGAAGGAAAAAATTAAAAAGCGCATTTTCAACTTCCATCAATTACAAAAAAAGTTGATATCAAAATTGTTAACCTTGAGTATAGCCAGTTTTGATTTTTTTTTTGTAATGAAATGATTTTGGGTCATTACGTTACGCTATAAGGGGGGGAGGGGCTTGGTGCTTTTGTGACAACTTGCTTCTTGTGACAAAGGTGAGGAGGTGGGGAGGGGAGGGAGGGTTAAAAAGGGTCGAAAATTGCGTGACGTATTTTATGGACGACCCCTCATCAAAAAGCTACATTAAACTTTATATTCATTAGTTAATCGAAAAATTAAATTTACATTTAGTTTTGTAACTATTTGCATTATTCGAAGAAAAGTTTATTTTTCAAAAATCATAAATAATCTATTAAAATTAATATTAGTGAATTTTTCAACTCAATATATTAACTTTTCTAATTACTCAACAAATAAAAATATCAGCAATCCTGATTTCAACAACGCTTTAGATTGCATAACTTCTAAAAGTTGCGTGAAAAATGATAAAAAAAGAAAATTTGTGTACAACAAATTTAATTTATTTTTAAAAACACAATTACAAGTTAAAATTAGCTCATTATTTTCTAAATTTCCATATGAAAAACCATGCAGAAACGAACAATGCATGCGTGATTTACGTGCTCGCAAATGTTATAGACATACCAATTTGAAAAACTTCTTCGACCGTGCAAAGAAGTACCTTGGATATAATAGGAATTTTATATAAATTAATATATCATAGGAATTTTTTTTAAGCATTTTTTTTGCAATTTAGTTTTGCCTTACTTTAATAATTTTTTTAATTTTTTAAAAATTTTATAAAATTAACGTAAATCGAGGCGTTTTCGGGCCGGTCGACTTACACAGCAAATGCTCTCAATGATGTTGAACTTCAATTCATCACTGATTAGGATAGTTCGCCATTTCTGCACATTCCAGTCAATATGAGATGTAGCAAACAGGAGTCTTTTCTTCTGGTTCTTTAGTGAAATCAGCGGTTTCTTTGCAGGGAGTCGAGAAAACAATCCGGCTTCAACAGCACGTTGTCTGATTGTTCGGTCCGATACAGGCAGCTCTATTTGCTTTTGCAACTCGACTGATGATATCCAGGGATCCTTCTTGACGGATCTGACGATCATAGAATCCTCTCTAGAAGTGGTGGAACGCGGTCTTCCACCTTTCTTATCTGCTGCCAACCTCCCCGTAGAACGATACTTGAGACAAAATGGACCTTATCAGTCTGGATACGGTCCATTTTTTCACGCGATATTTATCACTAATACTTTTTTTTGACATTCCATTTACGTAATCGCCAATAATTTTCTTTCTAAGTTCCAATCCAAGACTGTCGGGAGCTATTTTTGCACTTGAAGTCATAAAAATAATAAAAATAAATAATCTCAAGGCTTACCGTGTTACATTTACCTTGTGATGATACAATAATGCTCTGTGGAATACAACGTCTTGATTGGATGTGGACTTTATTGATGTAATAAAACACTTGTTGTATTTCACTTCTTGTATTGATGTTCTTCGATTAAACACTTTGATAAAACTCACTTCGATAAACTGTCTTCGTAATACTGACTAATTGACTTCCATATACTGACTGAATTACATGTCGGTTTACATGTCTCCTATATAGTAAAATAAACCTGTGTGAAGCTGTTCTGGAAGATTCTAGATGCTTTTTTTCGATGCTTCTGAATGTTTCTGGATACTTCTGGATGTTTCCAGATGCTTCTTCTGGAAGCTTCTGCATGCTTCTGTAAACATCTGGATACTTCCTTTAATTATTAAAAAATTTCCGTGACAATGACACGAACCAGACTTAAGAAAATGAAACAAACCAAAAAAGTTGCACTTTTTTTTTCTGCTGCAAAATGACACTTGTCAACGAAATTCTGCCTGTGTGCTGTCACCTGTCAGCTGATTGCTTATGTCATGGCATGCTATGACTCCAGAACTGTTTGCTGTGGTAGTATAGTTCGTTTCGTTTTTAAGACGTAAAATTCGGAACACTTTTTAGCATTGTTCCATGTTGGTTGCAAATGTTTTGTCCAATACTATATATATATATATATATATATATATATATATATATATATATATATATATATATATATATATATATATATATATATATATATATATATATATATATATATATATATATATATATATATATATATATATATATATATATACAGTCTTGCAAGGTCGTAAAAAAGAGTTTCCCATAAACGGTAGTTTTAAAGAGATTGCAAACTTGAAACAATTTAAAAGTTTAATTAAATAATTTTTTTTTTTCTTAAATGATAGATAGCTAGCCCAAACCAAACCCTCAGTCGATGTAGCAGCGCTCTATAACGAGTCAGGCTATTTGTCAGTCGATGCAGCAGCACTCCATAGTGAGTCAGGCTATAAGATGGTCGATGTAGCAACACTCCGCGCATATTTAAAAACTATATATTAACAAAACATATACAAAAAAAAAAAAAAACACTGCTAATTAAAAAAAAATTCCAGTCGTTAATATTGTAGTTTTTTTTAAAAAACCAAATAATTTAATGCAAAATCGTTAAATTAATTGTTTTTAACATTCTGACCACAAAAAATTGTTGTTTGATCGCTGCGGTAGCAAAACTGTATAATTAATGACTTTTACATTAAAACATTTTTTCTTCTTCTAAATATTGCTATTTACTTGATACATACCACTACTTTTAACTAGTCTTTTCTTCGCCATGCATTTATAAAGTCCACTTCTGTTGCATTGATAGTATGATACTTTCCTACCATCTTTATCAATCTTTTCACCAGAAGGTAAAACATATTGTGTTGCATTATTACTTTCAACATCTGATTTCCACATTTCAAATTCTAAAAAAATTATTTACAAGAATCAAATAACTACTACAAGACAAAAAGAGAGACAATGAATTTGAAAGCAATTGTGTAACACCTTATATAAAAAAAAATTCATAACATCAACAGCAACTGGACTAAATATATTTTTTTATTTATGTAAGTAATTGTGTTTGGAACTACTACAAATTCAAAATCATTTTCACAACACATAATCAGTTACAAATTAAAAAAATAACAAAGCAAGAACACAAAAAGTTGGATGCAAAATAAATGGCATATTTACTCTAAACTATTTCTACTTTTAAAAACATTAAAGCATTACCTCGATAATTAGCAAATGATAATTTTTCTTTCTGAAAAGTATAAAAATGAACTGTAGATAAATGTTTTCTTAAATCCTTAACTCGTCTACATTTAAATCCACATTGAAGACAAAAAGAATTTCCTGATTGAATATTTTCTTGTGCTTCATCAATTGATTTGTGTTTATTTTTCATATGCCGCAGCATGTTTTTTTTTTGGGTGAAAGAGATATTGCAAATTGCGCATTTTAAAGATAAATCGATATTTTTTACACTGGCCATATTTTTTTTATTTAAGTTGGATTCGAAAACATTTGTATATATGGCATCTTCATCAGAATTAGTATCACTTACCTTAATACTGGTGGAAACTTCACGCACAATAGTGGTAGGAACAACAAAATCAAGATTTATTTCTTTTGAGATAAACCATGACATTAAAACTAATCTTAAATATTTAGAATATTTAGTAGGGTCTTTTAAAAAAATGTAATTATTGGTCCCTATTTGACCATTATTTATCATACATTTAAAGTAATCATATTTTAGGCAAGAGATTGCACATACTATTATGGTAATAACTCCACAAATATTTCCACATGTCTGCATGGGATAATTTTCTTTGCAAAAAGAACTGCATTTTTTAACTCCATTCATATGTGTCTTTGGATCATGACAATAAGTGATATTAAAGCTTTCGTTTATGTGATACAATTTTCTGATTAATAATTTAACTTTAGTTAAAAAATCATCTGGAGCTGACCATCCTAAAGAATCTCCATAGTAAAAATTACCTTCAATACTATCATAAACTGCAAGTGTCCAGTGGCAACCTGCATTTAAATCTGTACCAGAAAATGTTTTCTCGTTGTTTCCTCCAACATTTATAATAAAGATCAGCTTTTCAGGGACAACAGTTATTCTTGATACATAATGCTCAATATTTCCTAAAAAGTTAAAATAAATTACCTTTGAATGGCTTTGGATCAAGTTTAAAATGCTGGACATTTGCAGCATATGATCTGATGAAAGCCATCTAGCACAACATAACTCAGCTAAAGTATTAGGGCTCATCCCATATTCTGATATTTCATTGTTAGCTGGCCTTTTAAAAAGCACTTCTTTGAATTTTTCAATTAAATTTTGAGAAGGAAAAATACTGATTGATTTTGGTACTAACTTGGGAGAATTAAACCATGTTAACTCTTGATCAACTGCTAGCTTCATTTCTTGAACCCTATGAAGAGCTATTAGAAGCTGAACACTTTCATACATGAACTTTCCTAGATTGCATTCTATATAATGGATTCCACTCGCAATACTATTACGCATAGATAGTTCAGTGGACCATTTCATTAACTGATGTTTAGGTGGTAAACTTTTAAGAGAAAATACATCATCAGTTATATCAACAGGAGACTGGCTTGTTTTAATAGAATAATCTTGAACAGATTTAATAAACTGTTTCTGTGACTCGTAAGCATTTTGTCGATTATAATTGTTGATCGTAAGGTGATTAAGCTTTAACTTGTTTGAAGACAAGCTAGCAGATGCCTAAATAAAAGTTCTGTCTTTTAGAAGAAGAAAAAATGCATTATATTTAATGTAATAAAACTGTACTAAAACTCACCATCGTTATTGCGTATTAGAAACTAGAAACTAGTAGCGTGCTCTATCCCATATATATTGTACATATATTATATATATATATGTTTATCCATACAAAGGCATAAACTTTTTTTAAATACGGCAACGAGAAAAAATTGTTTTCCGGACTAAGAAAAACAATCTTTTTTCGTCCAATCAAAATAGGGAGCCATTCCTGTATTTAACGATTAGTAATAAGAGATAATACTTAAGTATACTAGGATATACGGTAAAAGTCCGTAATTTACTTCTCCTTATCATAAATACGGACAAAAACATATAAAATATTTAAAAAGGCCTAAAAGTACGGTAAAAGACCGTAATTTATTGGAAACGGCTTTTTTCCGTTACTAAACAACGGAAAAAGTCTGGTAAATACAACGGAGTTTTTTTACAGTGTAACAATGCAGTCTTCTTTGTTTGACGAGTGTTTTTGTTCTTTATTTGACGAGTGCTTGCCTAATTTTAGAGATGGGTATCCGCATACAGACAAGATAGACTTTCGCTGAATGTGAATACCAACAACGGAATTGAGTGTCAAAACCAAAGTTTTAAATACAGTTTCTTAGAAAAAAGAAAAAAATTTTCCTTTACCGCTATGCTTAGCATATGCATTGAAGAATTTCTTCCACACAAGTATGACAGGTTAGTTAGTTATTGTCAACTCTATACTACCATTACTTTCAATAATAATAGTAACAGTAAACAATGGTAACAATAAATAATATTCTCCTAAATATATTAGATTGTTGTCAGATTTCAAAAATTATTATTAAGTCTAACTCTTTTTCTATGAATTTTGGAAATTCAAGAATTCTATTTACTGTACTGTAAAAAGCAATCATATTTTAGCTATGCCAATGAAAACACAAGAGCTAACTCATCATACAGAAAGTACCATGAGAAAATACCAACATATTTAACTAATCGTCCACGCCTTTTGGTTAATTATTGCATGCGAATGATTGACAAATTGCATGGTGTAGATCTAATAGGAATTAATGCTGTGACAGATAGATTATACAATGTTGCATCATTGAAGTCTAACAGTCGGGTAATATACCAATGCTATCTAGATGATGATGAACGTTTACCAACTTGTTTTTGTCCATCATGGTTTAATTCTGCTAATCCATGCAAGCATTTTTTTGCTATATTCTTAAAAGAAAATCTATCTTGGTCTGCTTTTGGTATGGCTTATCGAAATTCTCCTTATTTTGTTTTGGATTTATTGTCAGAAGAGGTAGTCTAACAAATACTGAATAATGTCCGGGTTCCGTTTATTTTGTTAATGATTCCACAAATGTCATTAATGACAATGCAGCACCACAAACAATAGTTGATTCAGATCAAATTAGGCAAACATTGCCAATTAATAATAATCAACCATTTATAACTACTTACCACACTGTGGCAGAATGTAGAGAATTATTGAATGAAATTAGTCAGTTGTCGTATTTATGTGACTCACAAAAAATAGATACTTTATATGAAGAATTATTAAAAGTTAAAAAATGCTTGTCTGAAAGTCTTCCAATTGAAACAGAGATTCTTCTTCTTCCAGTAGTTAAACCAGAAATTTGGAGCAAGTCTGAATCAAAGTTGCCAAAACTTATTAACATCCCTGTTACACGAAGAAAAAAAAACGATGAAACGAGTTGGTGCTTATGACTTATGTAAAGCAGCCAAAGAAATTTGTGTAAAACAGGAAAAGTCAGAATCTTGTTATTCTGAGATTGTTACTGATTACTCAATTGAAAAAATTTGAAAAATCTTTACAGTTAGCCATGAGTCAATTAAAGAAACTAAATCTATTGAAATCAACAAACACGTCCTTGATTGGATCCCACAAAATCAAAACACAAAATCGTCCTTGATTGGATCCCATTAAGGGTCAAATCAATGCTTTTAATACACACGAGTCTACTCCTTTTGTTCAAGTTCTTTATGACGAGAATCTTTAATGGATTTGTGTGAGCACATACAATTTGTAAGCCATGTGAGATTTTTATGTTTGACAGCCTTTTCCATGGCTTTATATATGTCGAGACGAAAAAACAAACATGTTCTATTTTACATTGCAAGAAAAAGTGTATATTAATTAAAGTATTACCTGTTCAACAACAAACTAATTTTTTGGATTGCGGATTGTATGCCATTGCCTGGGCTCGGCAAATCCTAGAAAATAAAAGTATACCATCAATTTCCATTATGTTTGAACAAGGGCAAATGAGAAATCATCTCCCAAGCTGTATAAAAAAGAACCAGTTAGATCTATTTCTAGTCACTGAAAATCCCTCACTATTAAAAAAATGTTTAGCAAATAACTTTCGCATCGCTCTGCATTACTCATGTCGTATGTTTTAGACCAATGAAGATGAACAAATCTTTAATAGGTATATTATCGCATTAACATAACTTTAAAATTTGAAATCTAATTTTAATAAATCATAAGTTGTAAAGATTATTTTAGATTTTAACATAATCATTATTTTTAGTATTAAGTGTATCTACAAAGATTTTTGTAGGCATTCTTTATTTTACATTAAAGCAATGACTTTAAATTGCATGTTCATTAATTTAAAGTGATCCCAAACTCCCAACACATCTTGTGTTCATATTAAAGATAATGTTAAAAAAAAAGGTTTGAACCAAGTTTTTTTGATTAAAAATAAATAATGAATGCATACTGAGAAAAACTAATGTTATTATTTTAGCCGAAACTGTTTTATTCAATAACTCTGAGTCTTCAAATTATATGTCGCAATCTACAGACTTAAGCGATTTCTTTGAAGCGTGTGTAATTTATAAAAGTTTTAGTATTTGACATCACGGTAGACTTGATGATATGACGATGTTATATAAAGATAGGAACGCTACACAGGGTTACTTGTCAACACGAAGGAACGCTACCTAGGGTTACTTGTCATAACAAAGGGAACGCTACACCGTGCCGCTATTGGTTGTATTAAACCACGTGACCAGTTTGGTGTAAACGGAGACACGAAAAAAAACTGCATCGTCATCGTCACGTGCGCGCTTGCTTATGTGCGTCAATGCTTTTGTTTAAAAATAGAATTAATCCCTCTATTTATTTAGTAGGCATGTTGGTTTAATCCTTTATTTATTTGTCGGTACGTTGTTATTAATCCTTTATTTATTTGTAGGTATGGTGTTTTAATCCTTTATTTATTTGTAGGTGTGTTGTTGCTAAGCGTATCCGGAAAATCTTTTTTTTATATTTGAGTATTAAGCCAGCGCGCTATAAAAAAAGAGATATTGCGTTTAAAAATATAAAGAAAAAAAAAACAAAATGAGTAAGCGCTATAAAAAAATGAGAAAAAATAAATCTTTTATATAAGTAAAGGAATGAGAGAATCTAGTAGACTTTATATTATTTTTTTTTTAAAAAATGAATACTGTGAGTATTTTTATTTATGTTTTTGTATATGTATCTATATATTTTTATATAATTAATTTGGAATAAAATTGTTTAGATTAAAGAATGTAAAGTTATAATTAAAGATTGTATGAATGTAATTAAAGTTGAAGATATTATTTAATTTAGTAAATTATAAATTAATTTGCTTAAATATAGTTTTTATAATATTTATATTTTTTAGAGATAGAAACATATTCACCGACTTATTACACGGAGTAGGTGTGCGAAGCCAGCAAGGTATCGTATTTTTTTTTCAAATGTCGGTTTGCTTTCGTCTCGAAAAGGTATGTTGTATTTTTGGATATAGTTCCATAATTTAGCAAAAGTGAGATGTTTAATTTGATAAAAATCGGCCACTATGCGTTTGCTTTCAACGCTGAACGGCGAAACCAGCAAGTTGAAAAAGTCGTTCGCCGCTTTTGAATACTGCATGGGATCAGTGATGAGTTGAAAATCCGTTTTCGAAATGTTGTTAACGATGTCGCCTATTGATTCTTCTACATCTACGATCATGGAATTGTATATTAGATATATCTTTAAGTTAGATAGGTTTGCTGTTTGTGTAACGGGTTTGTATATTCGTAAATAAATCTTTCTGGAACCGTTTTCCCAATTGATTTGTTGATTGCACATGTTTGTAAGTTTCCAGGCCATATTGGGAAACTTTTTTAATGTTTCTAAGCCGTAAATAAGACGCGTTACTTCGGCCTCGTTTGGCGTTTGATATTTTATTAAAAATTCTGTGATTGGAGTGAGCGTGTAAATTTTTTTAGAAGAACTTTTTACGGTGTTTAAGGAAGGGAAGGCTTCTACGCTAGCTTGAACGCTGCCCACGGTAGCGCCCGGATTAGTGTTCTCTGTTTTGGAAAATATTTTCTTAAATTTCTCATTTGCCTTAACGTTTCGCTGATGTTTCTTTGATCGACCTGATCGTTAAATTTTTGATAAGCGTTCATACCTATCAGTTTTGTAAACGTGAAAACGTCCCCGTCCACGTTCAGATAAGTTTTCCATTTTTCAGGATCCGTTATCGTCGAAGTGGCTAAATCGCCGTCTAACATAGTATTGAGCGGAAAAGCTTTTTGAAATTCTTGCTGAAATCTCAATTCTCCTTCTATTTGGTTTTCGGCGTTTACAGGATCCGCATAGATGAGCGAATTGGGTAAATCATATTTTTCGATCAAATTAGATAAATCGCTTTTGCTATTATTTTCCCTTGCCCACTGGAGATGCTATCAGATACTGATAAAAAAGTCTAAAAGACTGTTAAAAGCTCCAGTTAAAGCGCCCTCCATGACACCTTTGCCTTGTTTTTTGTAATGTCTTTTTTTGTAATGTTTTTTTTTATGAAGTTTTCTTCTATATTTTCGTTTCATTTTTTTTTCAATAATTTTTTAACAAGTTTGTATCCCAATACTCCTAGTGTTAATGGAAGCATTAATCCTTTACCCCTGTGTTTTCTACTTTTTTTTTTTCTATACCTTTTGTAGCGGTATCTCATTTTTTTTAAAATTTTTTCAAACCTTTTTAAGGCTTTTTTTATACATGTAAAATACTCAATAATTTTTAGAGAGCGTCTTTATTTAAAATTTAAAAGGTTAAATTATTTTTTTTTAGATGACAAACAAAAAATGAAATTACAGAGAGTAATGAAGAGTTAGCAAACAAATCTATATACCGCGAAACTACCTATTTTCTTAAAGACTCTATTAAAGATGAAGATGTGGCATAAGATAAAGAACTAGACGATCTTTTGCAATCACCTGATGAAATAGTATTTCATATAGATTATATGACTCGAATAGGATTTGAAAAAGAATTTAAAAACAGTAACAGTTTTAACAATTTGTTTAAAAATTTTTTATTGGGCTATCAATTTGTTGTGCTTTGTGCGAAATCGACATCAGAAAATCAGAGCAAAGTGATGAAACGAAATTATAATTCTCCTGTATATTTCATCAAACCATTGGAAGGAAGTGTCAATTTGGATTATCTGAAAACTACAAATCTCAGTGCCGCATTCAACATTTTAGAAAATGATAGTGGTTGGAGAATTATACGATTGAGTAAATTTTGCATCAAAAGTTTGTTCAATTTGTCAGAAAAATCCATGTCTAAACTGCGTCATTATGAAATGGATGGAAAACGAGTTAAAAAAATAAAAAATGATGACAAACCAAAGAAAAAAAGATCAGAAAAGCAAAAAGAAAGATACAATTTAAACAAGAGAAACAAATATAAAAATTTGTCTGGAAAAGCTCTTTTTTCATATAAAGAAAAACAACGGATGCGAAAAAAAAAAAAATTTGACTTCCCAAGTGTTAGAAGAAAGAACAAACGAGTGGAGTGGAGATAACGAAGATAAGAGGAGAAAATGATTTTTTAAGAAATATTGATGTAATTATTGACGAAAACCAAAATATATTCGAAGCATAGATACCGAAAGATAAGATTAAAATGGAAAGGAAATAAGTTAATCAAAACACTATGAAAATAATATATATATAAAATAAAATAATATTGATGTAACTGAACGTTTAATTGGAAATACAAATATAAAGAGAGAGAGGTGAATCTAAATGATGGAACTTTATCAAAAACAAAAAAAATATCTAATGATGAAACGATTGGTATAGACACAATAGAATAAAATTATCAATAAAAAATATTTTTAATGTTATATAAAAATAATAGAAGAACTTGAAAAAAAATTACAAATCATTCGTAATTTTTTTTATTTTATTCAAAAATACAGGATTAAATACAGGATTTATGAAAGTTAACAAAACAAGTAGAAGGAAAAGTTTTAACTAATACATCAAGATATTTATTTATTAAAATAACAATAAAACAAAGCAATTAAATACAAAAAGTTTATTTAAAATACTCTGTTGCAGACATTACATGAAAATTGAAACCTATAAAATAACATCAATCTCTGATAGATACTGATCATCAGAGATTCATCATCATCATTACAGGGAATCTTTAATGGATGTAACAAAACAAATAGAGAATAAAATAAGATCAACGTGACAAGGAATCTCCCATGGATGTCGATGAATGTCTTATTGATTACATTAAATTCAAATCAAATGTTCCAAAACAAGAAAACAAAGCCTATGAGTTTTTTACTGAAAGAAAGAGATTCTCTTGAATCTAGCGATAAAGAAAAAAACGATAAATCTAATGATAAAGAAATGATATTTCAAACAACAACGTCAATATCAACGTTTTTTTTTATATAAAAAAAATGGAAAAAAATGACAGTATTAGACAGCGATTATAATTTTGTTTCAATATCTTCAAATACTGTAGATTTAGATCACATTGATGTTGATTATATTAAAACAAGAAAACAAGAACAAAACAAGAAAACAAAGCATATGAAATAATATTAAATATAAAGAAATTGCTATTTTAACTGAAATAGAAAATGTGATAACTACTCGAATAAAATACAAATTCTTTTGATGAAAAAAAGTTCAGAAAAAAAAAACGAATGATAAAGAAAAAGATGACACAAAAATCATGCATTTTAATTAAAAAAACAAGAAAAAAAATAAATTCAACATCATTAGAACTTTTATATCAAGTGCTACTCCATGATTTGCATTATAATACAATAAAGGTATTATTATGCAAATCAAATAGTCAATCCGCAAAAAAATACTCTATATTTAAATGTAAAAGTAAGAGGTGTAACTCAAAAAGTTGCATTTATGGAACTCAAAAATGTTATATTTAAATTTTAAGTTAAAGTTGCATTTATGTAACTCAAAAAAGTTGTATTTAATGTAAAAATTGAAAAGTTGATTATAGATATAGAAGATATTATTAGACATCAGACAATAATATGTTATGATAATGAATTGAGATTGCTTTTATCCGATGATTTTAATTATTTTCTAACTAATCAAACTATACAAAAAAAAGATGATGATTTTAATTAATATTTTTTAACTAATCAAGTTATACAAAATAACTGGTTAAACTGTATTTGAAATGTTAACAAAATAATCGGTTGAACTGTATTTGAAATGCTAACAAATGATAATGGAGATTTAAATATGCCAATAAACTAAAATTGAATTGATGAAAATGTACTAATATCAATGTTTAAAAGAGATGCAGAAACAATTAAATTTTATTAATATGCAAAAGAACAATTAAATTATTATGCAATAAAAAAATTAATTGAAAATGAAAAAAGATGATGCAATTTAATTTTCTCATTTATTATAAAAATAATAGGTAATAAAATTCCATTGAAAAATCATGGAAACAAAATTAACCTGCTTGATGATGTAAGAACAGAAGGATATAAAATGATAAAGATATGCAATAAAAATGAAGATAATTATATTTTACTTGTTAAGAAAAATATTAACCAATTTTTTTTTAATATAAAAATATGGAAAAAAATGATTCAATTTTTATAAAAAAATGAAAAAAAATCAATTGAAAAATCATACTGGAAACAAAATTTTTATAAGTATGCAGAATAAAATGGAAACAAAATAATAAAAAATAACAAAAAAAATCATGCTGGAAACAAAATTGCAAGATGAGAATTAAAATAATAATTTGACGATTTTTCAAACCTTCTACGTTAGTAACTACTTGTTCGTAATGAGGAAATCTTAAGAGCGTATAAGGTATGTCTTTGTTGTTGTTCATGTACAAGGTTTTTTCTAACGGAATGCTTTGTTTGATTTTGTACGTGTTGACGTAGATGGTAGGGTTTTTCATCATGACTCCTGCGTTTTGTAACGCTGTGACATTGGCGTCTGTGTAATCTCTCACTAATTCTAGCAATTGATTTTGATCGTTTTCAAGATAAAGTTCTATTTTAAACTCTTTTCCTTTTCCGTAATAGGATTTTATTTGAAAAAATTCGCATATGAGGGACATCGGTACTCTAAATCTAAAACCTTTATCGCTTAAAATGCTATTGGGTGATGTTGCATCAGAATATGTATTGAGCATGTAAGTTTGATAACCTGCAGATGAGCCGTTAATCGCTCTCATTAAGCCGTTGGTATCATTAGACGTAATTAATGTCTTTGTTTCTGCATAAGTAGGAGGGGTAGTTGAAGCTTCGCACATGCCCATCATGACGATGAGTACTTTTTCTCGAAATGATTTTGTATAGCTTTTTTTTATTAAAAGACTTTGAAAACGATCGTAAGCTCTGTTGTTAATAGCGTTATTCGAATTGTTTTTTGTATTGTTTTGATATAATTTTTGATATAACTTTTGTTGTTTTGATATAATGTTTGACAAAATTGGGTACGAGAGTCAATTTTCTTGCTAGAGCTACATCGGCGTCTACGGTTTTATCGAATCTACTTAAAGTAGATAAATTTTTGTACAAAAGTAAATCGAATTCTAATATATAATCGGACGGAACGGTCCAATCGGTTGGCTTTATGGTAAATGTGACTAAATTGCGCAAGTCAGACGTGCTTTCGCAAGTAAACTTTTGCATGTTGACGGCAATAACATCATCTTGCGGTAGAGCCGTTTTAAATCCTGGATATTTATCGGCCAAAATTGCATTGTATTGTTTGCTAATGTGACCTGCAGTTGCCTCTTGTAGCAAACGATTCTCATTTTCAGCTTCGTTTAACAAATCGTCTACAGAAACCGGACCGTCATAATTTGGCGTATAACGGTTTCCGTCCCCGTCTCTCATGTATTTAGGCATTAAACCCATTATTGCAATGCTAACAAAAAAAACAAAAAAAAAAGATTACAAAATTTTTTTTATTCCGAAAAAAAATTAATTATAAACAAAAAATATTTTCGCATTTATATGACGGAGTTTATTCATCGTCCGAGTCAGAACTGTTCTTTTTAAGTGGTATTTTTTTGTTTTTGACAATTTTCTCCGTTTTTAAATCAGATCTAGGAGGGCAAGCTCTTCAATATTTACAAAACGTTCGCAATGCGTAAAAGAGGACGAGAAAGAATTTATTTACCACCTTTAAAAGGTGCTGGTAGAGTTTACTTACCGCCCCTACGAGGAACGGGAAAAAAAAGAAGATACAAAAAGAGACGTATGCGTGGAAAATTTTTACCCATTCTGGCAGGATTAGCGTTTATAACCAGACCTTTAGCGCCAACTATTGCAAAAGCAGCCTTAGGCGGTTTGGTTTCATGAGGAATATCGTTAGGAATTAACAAATTAGGAAACTAACTTTTATTGTATCACTTTTTTTTATACAAAAATAAAAAATTTTACATGTATTAATAGTGTTTTTCAATTGATCTCATAGAGCTTTTTTTTTTTAGATGCTTCCATTTCGTATATAGTCTAGAACTTGCGAAAATTTCGCATCTTTATCTACCGTAATAGAATTGTTATTACGGAAGTTGCACATGCGAAAATGCACATTCCGTAACGCGCTATACGAAAATATAAATAAATAAAATTCCGTAATAAAGCATTGCGAAAGAAAACTTGCGAAACAAATCATTTCGTAAGAATACTTACGAAATAGTTCCTTACGGAAAAAGCATTCCGGAATGTGTAGTTACGAAAAAGACGCAAAAGATTTTATGTTACGATATATTTAAGATATTAACTGTTAACAGTTTAAATAATAAATAATAAAATTATAAAAAAATGTTGTCAAATGATTCTTCAAATGTTTATACAAATATACCTAATATATATATATATATATATATATATATATATATATATATATATATATATATATATATATATATATATATATATATATATATATATATATATATATATATATATACATATATATATATATATATATATATATATATATATATATATATATATATATATATATATATATATATATATATATATATATACACATTAACGGGATTTTACTGTATATATATGTATATATATATATATATATATATATATATATATATATATATATATATATATATATATATATATATATATATATATATATACATATATATACAGTAAAATCCCGCTAAGTTGGACTTTCAATGAACAGATAAACAGTATGCCTTTCTTTTTAAAAAGTATAAAGAGGATGTGTGATAAACAATTAAATACTTTATTATAAAGAACGAGAGATCTCTCTAAAGGTAAATGATATCAGAAAGAGTAAAAAGAGAAGAAATATATGTGAAACAGCGGGATGTCAACCTGGGTCTACGCGGCCAAATGTCTTAACTGAATGAGCTATACGTTCATTCAACTAAGTGAATAGTAATATTTATTTAATATATAATTTGAAACTATATAAAAAAGAATTTACAGAAAGAGATACGTATGCAAATAGGAGTCTATATATCAGGAAAATTAATAGTAATGTGAACCTTTAGATGCTTATAATTAATATCTGGACTCAAAAACTAGTTACTTTTAATGGAACACAATAAGCTGTAGGAGCCTCAGGGAAATTATATTCAGAAATGGTTATATTAGACTCAGAGTTAGCTAGAAATTATTACAAAGTATTTAGGACAGATGTCTAATACAAAAAGCAAAAGATTTAAAGCAAAATGAATTATATTATTTGAAAAAATTGTTTTACGTACATTTCATCATAATTTAAGTAGAACTTAGTAAAGCAAGGGAAACGTGTTGAATTAAGCACAATGAACTCAATTTTAAAAGAATAACTAACAGAAGAGAGGTTGTCACTATTGTGAAGGCGACGAAAGATCTGTAATATAGAACATGGAGGTCAAAAAATGCTATCTTAAGTAAAA